TGGAGCCCGCACTCCGTCCCTGGACTCCGAACCCGCACCTCAGCCATACAGCGCAACGCAGCGCCCAGCAGTTTTAAAATCCCGGGCCGTGACATTACGTCACACCCGGGCATCTCCCCGCCTACCGGTTTGAGCACGCTGTGCAGGGCAGCAGCAGCCAACAAGGAGAAGCTCAGTGAAGGTTGCACACGGCGGGGACGGGGACGGGCACGGGGACAGGGGAGAGATGCTCTGGGACCGGGGTGGGAGGACGCGTGGGGGGGCCGGGGCCCGCTCCAGTTCCAAATATTGATGGAGCATGGGCACCACGAGCCCATACAACTCGCTGCCCATGCCTCTGCTGGCCAGCCGGCTCTCTCTCTTTCAGAGGGGGCGGGGGAGTGCCAGCTCCTCGCGGAACCCCTAGTTTTGCTTCGCGGAGCACCAATTGGGAAACACTGAGGGTATGTCTACACTACCCCCCTAGTTCGAACTAGGGGGGTAATGTATGCATACCGAACTTGCTAATGAAGCCCGGGATTTGAATTTCCGGGGCTTCATTAGCATAAAGCCGGCTAGTGCAAACCCCGTGCCGCGCGGCTACACGCAGCACGGACTAGATAGTTCGGATTAGGGAAAGAGAGCATCCAAACTGCCTGGGTGCTCTCTTTCGAAAAAACGGCCTGCTTTTTTGAAAGTACTGATTGTAGTCTAGACGCTCTTTTTCGAAAGAGACTTGCAGTCTAGACGTAGCCAAAGAGACAGTGGAAAACAAAGCTGAGTGTATTACCGGGAGATGCATGTAACATAGTGACTGTTAAATACACACTACTGCTGAAATTGGTTCCTTATTTCAAGTTCCTTATTTGTGGTACCAGCTCCTTACTCATAGCTCCCTGTTCCTTGTTCAGAGGCCAAAATTGTTTTATAAAATTATTTTTTTTAAATTAATAAAAATTGAATCTTACAATAAGTGAATATGGTAAAAATTAAATGGCTAGTTCCTCAATTACTTATTAACTAACTAATCAAAGGAGGGGCTGGAATTTGAGTGCCTATAAATGATGAACTAAGCCTCAGTCCCCCTGACAGACATCTCCCTGCAAGCATCAGGCTGCTCTGAAGGACTTGGTCATGCCACTTACTGACCCAAAACTTCGTTTATGAGCAATGTGCTGCCTGTCCCCTGATATGCCCTCACCCCACTTCCATATTATCAATGGGGACTGAATAAAGAACTGGCAGAACGTAATAAAATAAGTCTCGGGTCAGCACAACCACTGAACTGTTCTGCTGCAACTGAGACTTTGGAGTTCCCAACCTGGAGCTTCTTTGCAAAAAATTATGGCCCAGGTCACAGCCCTCTCCCCTCAAGCCTCAGTCATAGATTTCATAGATTCATAGGGTTCCCTCATCCCCAGCACCATCATTTTCTTTTCCAAAAAAATACCCAAAATTAGTTGAGTTAAGGATCCAAGCAATGCCTGGTAAATCTTCTAGTTGTATTATATAGGAATAGGGCAGTATTCCTTTAAGTCATTTGTGAGCACTCTAATTGTGTTCACGATTTTCTGTATTTTAAAAGTGATCACAAACAGCAGCATGCAATAAGTTAGCCCCTGCATATTTTCATGTAGTTAATAAACACTATTATTTAGGAACGCACTGAGCTCAAGCTATGAGTTTATTTGAATGCTTGTTGTGTTATGAGTAAAACAATATATGCTTTTATATCTATAACACAGTTAAACAAATGTTGATAAATGCAACCATTTTCCTCCTCTTAATTCATCTAACAATCCAATATTCCTAAAGACTTCTTCATCTTTACTATTGTATAATTTCTGTGAAAATGTATGGTGGATTTGCAACAGATTGATTTAATATGGTTTTTTATTGATTTGTACATGCATATTCTGTGTTAACTAACAAAATAAAACCTGGGATAATATTTGTATTAGACCAGGAAGGGAGTGACACTGCATCTCTTCATAATGAACTAATGGTCACAGGGGGGTGGATGGCACATGAGGTGACCTGAGATGCATTATGTCATGTACAGTCTGTCAAAACCCTCCTCTGTACGTAATCTTTATGTACAATATGGAGATGGAACAGCCTAACAGTTGGCAGCATAGTATACAAGAACAAAGCTTTGGATCAGCACGAGTATCTTCACAACAGTCTGTGGGTTGCAAGGATGTGTCATTTGGGGTGACCCTGACTTATTTTGTCATATACAGACATTCAAATTGATAGCTCTCATTTAAATAAGAAATAATTAAATAATCAGTAATTTAATTGTTCATCACATTCAAACACATTAATTAGATAACATTTCTAAAAATGGAGCCTTATGTTGATATATTTGTAATCAATTTGGCCTTTGAATAAGGAAGGGGAACCCATGGTAAAGAACTGGTATCACACCTAAGGAACTGGGAATAAGGAACCAATTTCAGCCTTCCACTAGTGGGGAGAGCCAACTGACCTTGGCCTGCTATCAAGTCGTATAATGAATAGAGTAGCACAAAGCGAGTCCCAGGATGTTAATTTTTGATGAATAATTCACTACTCCACATTTCCCACCTTCAAAGCCCACCCAGTCCCTCCCCACTTCTCCAAAACAGGAATTAATCTGCCTGACATTACACTGCAGATCAAAATAGACTGGAGGAAAAGAAGTGATTGAAAAACCAGTTGCCATGGAGACCCACCTGTGTGGGTGAGGAGACTGGGGGGGGGGGAGGCAACAGCTTATTAATTCTTCACCAAAGGGAGTAAGGGATCTGGGGAGCCAGCCCAGGAGCAGGAGGGGAGAAAAGATACCCTCTATTCTTGGGCAAAGGAATGCCAGGCTGTGATCCTGGAAGGACTGTTCTTAGACTGAGCAGGTGGTTCTGAACACTCTGTAGCCCCTCCCCTAGTTGCTCAATGCACCTTCCAAAGGGCATGACATAGCTGAGGGAGGTCAGTGCTCAGGAAAGCAGGAAGCAGCAGCACTGTGAGCTGTGCAGGCTCTGTGCAACCAAAGCATCTCAGACCCTGAACCCAGACTGATAGTCCTGCCACCTGACACACACAAAGATTAGGCAAGATCTAGGAAATTTTCTATGGGGGACCAAAGATAACACTTGATCCCAGTTGAGCAGAGGTCAAAGGACAGAGCTGTCGACCCTCTGGTCACTGGATTCCCTAGGAAAGTTGCTGGCAGCTCCAAAACCAATGAATGGCAGAGGTCCTGTGGTTGTCAGATGGTGTGTTTCTCACTGAATAGCTGAGCTGTTTATCAGGTAAATAAAGAGGCGATATACCTCTGCTGCCTGCCAAGAGCAAGAGTGAGGAGCTGTTTACCAACAAAAGGCTCTGCTCAGCTTGGACGCAGCTGAGTCTGCTGGACCAAGAGGGAGTCCAATCAGACAATCCTCTGCCACTCTGCGGAGTGCAGCTGGGATTAGTGCTTAGGAGCCCATCTGTGTTCTCCTAATGAATCACCTAGGGGCAGGGGCGATTCAATTTGTGCTCCATTAATTAAGAGTGTCTGTTACCAGGGGAGCCCGTGCTTCCTCCAGGGTTTGTATTAAACAGCTAGCAGGAAGGCACAAACTTTAATTTACCACCACCTTGTCCAGCTCCTGCTAAAGCAAGGGACTGTGGCTAATGTAGCCTGAACCTTTCAACCCACAAGCAAATGATAGCCACAGAGAAAAGAGCTAATGCAATGGCATTCCTCCGGTGGCTGGCAAGCATTCTGGCAGCATTGGCATGCCAGGTGCCAAGGCTTAGACAGTCTCCTTTGCCTTTTGTTCCCTGCCTCTGGGAAAAGATGATGGACAGGTGAGCCTGCTTAAGGTCCTGCTGTACTTAGACTACCCTCTGCTGGCCCTGCTACTGAACAGCATGGGAATAGGATTCCACCCTTACTGAATTTTCATTTCATACAGTTTGTCTGTGAGAGTGCGTCTACACTGCATCGGTAGCTCTAAGTAAGCTACCCAATTTGAGCTACGCAAATTGTGTAGCTTATTTCAAGTGTATTTTGAAATAAACTGCTATTCCAAAATGTCTCTTAATCCTCATGGAACGAGGTTTACAGGGACATTGGAATAGTGAGCCCATTATTTCAAAAGCTATTTTGAAATAACGGGCTTGTTTAAAAGACACGGAATAGCTATTTCATGATTCCCGAAGCATCCCAAAACAGCGCCAAAGTGTAGACGTACCCTGAGCGTGGTCACTAAGATGAGCCCATGGAGAGGGAGAGCAGGGCCAAGGGCCTCCCAGAATGAAGAGGTGGCAAAAAGACCTTCCAATCCACCAAAAGGAAAATTAGGAAACATTGCTCTGTTTCCAGGTACAACTCTCTTTGGAGGAATCTCAGGTCATGGAGCTCAAATCAAACTGACTGGTGCAGTAAAAATATGTAGTCTGGCTTGTCCCTAAGGAAAAGGACTTCCACATGCATTGTAGATTCTTTACAGAAATCCACCTTATGTCACTCTGGAGCCAATCTCTTTTGGGGAGGCCATCTCAAAGCTGCATGCTTCAGGACCTTTCTGTCAATCCAGGCATTTGTACTTTGCTCACTGTTACCGAGAACTGGGCGCAGCAAAGGGACAAAGGCAAGAGGGACCATTGGTGACTGGACGGAAGATACACTGGGCCCTGCATAGGAAGCCAACAACTGTACTCCAGCACTAATGCTCCCAAACAACCCAGACAGATAAAAGGCATGTCACTTCTTCAGTAGTTCACCTTTTCCACATGATCGTAGCACGGTAAAGGCAGCTCTGGATGATACTCTAGGACTCAATCCTGCATCAACCAGGGAATTGGCCAGGCCAGGTGACTCAGTCCTCCTTTTCCATCTCCAAGATCTATAGTTTCATGAACAACCTAGTCAATTCCTTTAGGATGGAGCTGTTCCATACAATGGGGTGATTCGGTGGTGAAAGAGGAAGTACCATTCTGTACTCACGGCAACCTGAGCAGCCATAATTGCAATGAAGACAGGCTCTACCAAGAATGCTGTCAGGGCTGAGTTCTTGCTAAGCTCCCATTAGCTTCAAGGGAAGTTGTAGATGCTCAGTCAGTCTCTCTAACAATCAAGGTCTAAGGGCCACTACATCTCAACCCTCTTTGCATAAACGCCAATCAGCACCGAGGATCCTTCTGACCTTTATGTTGTGCTCACTCTCCGCGTCTGATCGCCTCCTCTCCACTGTTCTCCTTTCATCCCCCTGTATGGATATAGAAGAGACACGATTCACGACTGTACATGGACTCTAGAGTGAGGAATAGTGACAGACCTTGAACATCTGGGCCTAAGCCTGTTTAGGCACCTAACCCTATTTACAGTGTGGTGGAGTCAGGGAACCAGTTGCAATCTGATTAAATTTTGCTATGGTAAAGTTGTCATATACCCATCTCCCTGTACCCAAGCTAAAGCCTCCACACTCCAGCTCTTTAACACACACGTAGGCTACGTCTAGACTGGCATGATTTTCTGGAAATGCTTTTAACGGAAAAGTTTTCCGTTAAAAGCATTTCCGGAAAAGCGCATCTGATTGGCAGGACGCTTTTCCGCAAAAGCACTTTTTGTGGAAAAGCATCCATGGCCAATCTAGACGCACTTTTGCGCAAAAAAGCCCTGATCGCCATTTTCGCGATCGGGGCTTTTTTGCCGAAAACAAATCTCTGCTGTCTACACTGGCCCTTTTGCGCAAAAGTTTTTCGGAAAAAGACTTCTGCCCGAACGGGAGCAGCATAGGATTTCCGCAAAAACACTGACAATCTTACATGAGATCGTCAGTGCTTTTGCGGAAATTCAAGTGGCCAGTGTAGACAGCTGGCAAGCTTTTCCAGAAAAGTGGCTGATTTTCCGGAAAAACTGGCCAGTCTAGACACAGCCATAGGGTATATCTACACAGCAGGGCTAAATTCAAAATAAGCTATGCATCTTGAGCTACGCTAATTGAGTAGTTAAGTCAAAATAGCTTATTTCGAATTTGGGCACATCTACACAGCACTTATTTTGAAATAGAGCACTCTTCCTCCAACTTCTCTTGCTCCTCATACAAGGAGGTTTATAGAAGTCGGAGTAAGAAGCCCGTTATTTAAAATGTATTTAGAAATAATGGGCTTGCTATATAGATGCGCAATACATAACTTTGGAATAACATCCAGCAGTGCTTTTTTTGTGACAGTACACACCAGTACAGCAAACCATCACCTTTTTTGGGAGTACTTGCCACTGTTTTCTGGCACAGCCCCCAACTGGCCCTGGGAGCACTCACGACGTTCCAGATGGAAGCCCTCTCGGGCAATTAAAGGGGCCACAACCACATTTCCCAGGCGCTTTTTTTTTTTTTAAATCTGGCAACTCTAGTACTGGCACCTTTTTTATGTCCGTTATTCTGAAATAATGCTGCTATGTAGACATACCCATAGGGACACAATTAGGTCCCATCTATATTACCTAGAATTGTACTGTAATAGGTCCCAGACACAGTGGTGCTGGGACATTTTTTTTACAGTGAATGTGCTGAAAGACAGTGGTTCCCAAACTTTTTAATTTGTGCTCCCCCTTAATCCTGTCTGCACCACCTCTCCTCAGAGTTGGGGCCTGGAATGGGTCATGGCTCTGGGAGGGTGGGGGAAAGAAGACAGGAATAAAGGGGCTGAGGCAGGGACCACAACTAGGGCTGGGAGCAGACCTATGGCATGGGTCCTGCAGATGGGATCCCCCCGGTGCGGGGCCAGGAGCAAAGCCCTGGGCACATCTACACAGCACTTATTTTGAAATAGAGCACTCTTCCTCCGCAGAGCTGGAGCAGAGCTCCAGGCACAAGGTTGGTAACCAGGACCACCGACAAGGGGGAGCCAAGGGGGCAGTTGCTCTGGGGCCCGGGGATTCTAAAGGGCCTGGAGTTCCTGGCCACTCCTGAAGTCAGTTTAATCGCCACTGGAGCACCGTACTGCATGATTCTGGTGGCTCTGTGAGCTGGAGCTGGAGTATGCCACACTCTGAGCAGTGCTCAGAGCTGCAAGGGTGCTCACGTGGCACTCTCATTGCCTCGGCCCTGCGCCTTCTCTCTGAGGCCCTGACTCTTCTGGGAGCACAGAGCTCTCTCCACCGCCAATTGCCCAGGGTCCCAGCGTGGCTGGTGGTTCTCCTGCTGGCAGCAACCAGGACCCTGGGAGCAGGCCCGGGAGCAGATGTGGGGCCATGGGTAACTGGGACCTTGGGCATGGACTCGGGCAGCCAGGACCTCACACAAAACCTGGGAGTGCTGCAGCACCCCTGCACCTCTTGTTCCCACACCTGTGCCCAGATTGTTACACTGGAGATGGTACCTTGGACTTATCCTCCTATCCTCTTAGTGAACCATGGACAAAGCATTCAAAGGTTCAGAAAAGGGCCACAGAAATGATTAGGGATATGGAATGGCTTCTGTAACAGTGGGACTTTTTAGCTTGGAAAAGAGATGGCTAGAAGGGGATATGATAGAGGTCTATAAAATCATGGACTAAGGTAAAGAAAGTTAACGAAGAAGAATTATTTACTACTCATAACAGAAGAACTAGGGGGTCACCAAATGAAATAAATAGGGGGCAGGTTTAAAACAAACAAAAGGAAATAATTCTTCATACGATGTACAGTCAACTTGTGGAACTGTTTGCCAGGGAATGTTGTGAAGGCCAAGACTATAATACTGTTTTAAAAAAAATTAGAGAAACTCACAGACGATAGGTCCATCCTATTAGCCAGGATGGGTAGGAATGGTGCCCGTAGCCTCTGTTTGCCAGAAGCTGGGAATGGATGACAGGGGATGGATCACTTGTTGAATGCCTGTTCTGTTCATTTTCTCTAGTGCACTTGGCATTGACCACTGTCAGAAAACAGGATACTGGGCTAGAGAGATCTTTAGTCTGACCCAGTATAGCTGTTCTCATGCTTATTAAACAAATAAAACAGGCAGTTCTCTGGTCCACTGCAAGACCGAAACCATATTCTGAAAAGTACAGTCAGCTATGGAGAGAGCTCGAAGAAATCAGAGGGCGTCCCCCATGAAACTGAAACAGGAGTCCTTGAATCCCTTATTCGATTACAAAAACTCCTCCCTGTTGAAACCTTTCTTCCATGAAGGGCCTGAAGCCAGCTCTACTTATGGGATTCCTTTGGTATTAAATTGATTTACTGCAATGAGCGCTATTCCTTATTGCACTGCCTCCACCGCCACTTACCATTTTGTTGCACTCTTGGGTGATTACAGATCATTTCTATAAGGCCTTCCATCGCATGGTGTCAGAGTGCTTATGGATAAATAAGGCTAGATTCACTGTCTCCCTGTGAGATCACTGGTCTCAGACATCAGAAACCAGGGGGCTGATGCAGCAAGAGGTTAAATGACTTGTCCAAAGACACAAATAAAGACTGTGGAAGAGCTGGAATTGAATTCATGGCTTCAGCTCTCAGATGTTTTTCCTGGGGATGCAGTTTCTGCTGGTTCCTCTCAGTGTGACATTTTGTTTTAGTTGTTTCCTTCTACCCTCACCTTTTTTTAGTTGATCCTTAGTTGTCACTTGCACCATCTGGTCCAAGCGCAGTCATGAGAGTCCCCTCACCCTTTCTTCTAGCAGCTTGCTATCCTTCCTAGTAGGGATGTTAGGTAGCGTGGAATTCAGTAATTGTGTAGCTGACAAAATCTTTGTTGGCTACACGATTAACCAATAAGCATCCCTGCATTTAAAGATCTTGAGCCGCAGCAGGGGTACTGTTGGACCCAGCACAAGCTGGGACTGAGCCAACATGTTTGCACACAGGCTCCTAAAATACTTTAAATGCAGAGCCACAGAGGGGCAGGGGATTGTGTGTGGCCAATAGCGTTAACCGATAAGCATCTGCTTATCAGTGAATCATTTCACTGGCTACACTAGTACATCCTTTCCAGTAAACCCTTCCCTTTTGCTTGTGGGCTGCAGTATTTGTGCTTCATTTTTAACTAGGAAGGCAGAAATGTGCCTTTCTCCAAGGCAAATTCCAGTCTCACTTAGTGCAGCGTTACTTGCAAGAGACACTGGTGGAGCAGCTGGTAACCTCAGCTAGGAAAACAAGCTTCTCCACATTGGTCCTCCATGACTCCAGCTTGGGAGAGAAACCCAGTGTTGTTTACTTAAACCCACTCCAGGGTCAATCAGAGCCTGGAAACTTCATGAAGAAGAAACATACTGCTAGTACCACTTAGCGAGTACATTTGGTGGGGAGGTAAGAGGGTAGAGAATGGCATGATTTTCTTATTGCCTCTTGGCAGTAGCGGGAACATACAGTATGGGGGCATGGGAAATGGGAGTCCGAAAAAAACCCTCAGGGGCAGTCACAAAATCACAGAGTGTACAGCCGTGTTTGTACGTGTCATGCTCACAGAAGCTCATGACAGGAGCAGAGTATACAGCAGAGGGAGATTAGCATGGCATCCATTTTGCAGAGTAGCAAGGAGTGTGAAAACCATTGGCCTACACATGTGTTGATTTCTTTCAATGCTAATCTCTTGCGCCTTTGAAATAAAACAGGAAGGGAGGGCAGGAAAGAGCCTGTGCTTGTTGGATACACCCCTCTTATTCGCCCTGTCCTTCAACTCCTGAGACCCCACTATTATAAACAATAATCACATGAATGGCTGAGACAGATGGAGGACTTGTCTAAATGCAGGATCAGTCCAGAAAAAGGTAGGGTGTGAATTTAAAACACTGGAGTTATTCCAGAGCAAGAGTGTCTACACGGGGAGCTTCTGTGGAACAGCTCTGCTGCCTTAAACCCACACCCCACCTTACTCTGGAATAACTTCCCCGGGTAGGTAAGCCCTGAACCCCTTTGGCTCAGGAAGGTAAATGGCCTCTCACCTGCAGCTGTTCTTTGCTATGAGACCCCTGCTGCCTAACTAGGAATGGTCTCTGTATTGCATCCCCTCACTGGAGAATCCCACGGACCCCTGGGTCACAGCTTCACTCTCACCAACCAGAGTTTGGAATGGAAAACTGCCAAGGAGAAGAAAAAGCAGCTCCAGTGGGTGAGCCACCAGCTGAAGAAACTGAAGCAAACCCCATTGGCCTGAGGACAGCCCTGCGCTGTGTACTGCCACAGGGGCAGCCGTATCCCCTTTTGAGCTGCCTCTGCTACCTCCTAATTGCTGCTCCATCACATGATCTTCTGCACATTTGCTGCCAAATGACACAGCAT